ATTCATCTTAGTACAGATCTCTGTGAATACACTGTGGAACAAATTAGATTTCTATTTGTTCCCCTTCTTATGCATCTCTCTTTATTTCCCCCTTAGTCTCTTTTAGATCAGGCGTCTTCAACGTTTTTCAGGGCAAGGACCTCTTAGGCGATAGAGACATGGAGCAGGGACCCCATGATACAAAATGTGTCAAGCAGAGCTACATATTAGTCTTCAATATTAATATAAACTAACCATATTATGATTAAGAATAAATTATGTTACATGTATAATATGTTAAGACAGTAGATCAGAACTATGCACATTATTGTTGTTGCACATGCATCACTGCCTTTATATTACTTGTTAAAATGCATCATAACAAACAACATGTTGAGATAAAAATCTAAATTCATTAGTTCTTTGCAGTTGTTTTAAATTATTGTAATGGATTTGCAGAGTCATACATTTTTATTTTACTAGTCAGATGGACATTTACAGTTACCTGAACTTAGCTACAAGGTTATTAAAAATTCACATTTTAATTTTACTGTCAGATGGACAAATAAACATTTTGTTAAACTGTACCTTCAAGTTTACTAAAACTTAACATTTAAATTTTACTGTGAGATGGACAATTAAGAATCAAATCACTGACTGAGGGTCTTTTAATAAAGTGCAGATGTAATGTGTAAGCAAGGGCTCCACCATACTACTGGGGATGTGTACATCAAAATTGCATCAATTTTGTCACACTGAACAACAATTAATTACTGTATTTGCATTATTGTAAGGTTAAGTTAAGGGTTGGGGTAGGTGTAGAAGTTAATAAAACACAATCTAATATAGCAAATTTAATGTATTGTTATTTTCCGGCCGTAGCTGTATCCCTTCTAGCCACAACCATATCTTATGGTTGTTCTTAAATGCTGAAGAATTCCAAATGAACTCCATTATTTTGACAGGAAAATACAACAAAACATATCACTTACATGTAGCACATCAATTGACCTAGATCGGTAAGCCCTTGTAGCACGTCAATTGACCTATCGGCAGTGTTGGGGAGTAACTAGTTACATGTAACGGCGTTACGTAATTTAATTACAAAATAAATGTAACTGTAATCAGTTACAGTTACTAAGAAAAAATGTGTAATTAAATTACAATTACTTATGAAAATGTTAACGATTACAAAGGGGATTACATTTGAATATTTACACACATCCACATACAGATTTAATTGATTTATTTCCCAATACACACACACACACATGTTCAGAGCAAAGTAGTGTTTAACGGTGAAATTAGGTCTTTCTTTGTGTGTCTGTTCTCATGCTGTTTACTGCTTCACTGTGAGATAACTGTCCTGCAGTTAAACGGAGTAATTTTAAAAGGTACTTTTATTGGACTACTGAATGTAGCAGAGTGAATCATTTGAAGACTAAAAGGAAAAACAGTACCTTTAACCTTTCTGATAAGGAAAGGGTAATTCAAACCCCTACACAAGCACAGCCAGATGGTTCTGCTGAAAATGGTATTATAAATACCTATTTTTTTCCCATGGCAATTGGTTTAAATTGTCTGCAATTTTCGAATATTTCACACAAACAAAACACACACACCAAATTGCTATCGTTTGTGTGTGTCTGTTTTTATTTTATTTGTGATGAAATTGAATAATATAGCCTACCTGAGCAACTCGTCATCTCACACTATTTCACTATGGTTGACCTAACACAAACTGAACTGGGCTTATATAACTACAAGTGATGTTCAGCATTATTTATACATTATTTAGTTTACAGTAATGGCCTTTGCTTGCCATTTCACTCAGCACTCCATTTACACACATAAAAATAACTGTAGGCTATGTTCAGGTGGACTATGTCTGTTCTAAGATGTGACAGAAAGTCCTTTTTCCTTCATAACAGCTATGTATATTAAACAGTTGATGAATAATTTGTCAGGGAGGGCAAAGGCAGAATTGTTAGTTTAGGCTTTAGCTAGTTATGACAGAACATCACAGCAGTGCTTTTCCACATTCACTCTGGTCTGTGGGTGGTCATTTATTTCATAATACTGTAAAGCTAACAGCTAATGTTTATCTTGATAGGAGAAAACTGGGCTGGTGTGTTTGTTGTGTGCAAAAGCAAACGAAAGAGAATAAATAAAGTCTGACCATATCGTATTAAAATGATCGTGTTATTAACATAACCTCTGTCACACAAGCAAAAGAGCTGTTGTTATTAAAATAGACTTTAAGACAAGATTACTCTAATGTTTGTCTGTATAGCTGCTTAAAGATCAAAATGTCTAAGCGCTATATAAATTAAAATTAACTTGATATTCACTTGATAAACACTTGATATTCAACATCAACAACAACAGTATGATTGTGAGTGTCATGTTGTTCACTTTGTATATTGTTGTGCAGACAACAGATTCCAAACTAAATCAAAGCAGAAAATATGCTGTGCCCATCTCCGACCAACACACAGTAGTGGTGTTCCTGAATGAATCTTAAACGAATCAGTGTGAATTGGTAAGTGAATCTGTGTGAATTGGTTGAATGAATAATTCAATGAACAGTCACTTGTTTCATTCGAGAATGAATCAGTGTTTTGAATGTACTGACACTGCATTCCATTCTGAAGGTCTCATCCCTATAGCCTAATCCTTTTGAAGGGTTTGCCCTCCAGAGCGAAAGCTTTGAAGGGATGAAGGGTGTAGGGGCCCAAACAACTTCTTGCCCAGCCAATTAAGGAGGCACTATCGTCCCACAATTAAACCTGCGCAAAAAGAATCATGAAAGAGAAATGTCCATAAGTTGTACCCTTTGAAATCCTTCATTACGAAGGGCCATTTGAAGCAGCCAGTTTTGAGCACTTTGGTTTGGAACGACCCTTCTATATGGTGGCCATGATTGTTCTCACTCTGAAGCCCTTCATGGACGGATTTATTCTGTTTTGGAGCAGATTCCCCAAACTCATTTATAAAGACTGTTGCCCCTTACTGGCGATTCAAAGTAACTTGCAGAAAGAGTTACTGAAAAAAAAACCCGAGACATATATGAACATTACATTAACAAGTTAATACAATTGTTTTATTTACTAATAACAAACAACAAAGCAACAGAAAATCCACCAAAATCTATAACTTAGGTGCCCATAGGCATCTGTTTTCTCTCTCTGTCTGTAAGGATAACTGAAACTGCAGTTGCAACATAGTCAGAGCAACAATCTGCCTTGAGTCGCCCATGTCGTGTTTGTCTGGAGGCTAAAGTGCACCTTTATCAGCATCTCTTTCTCTCTCTCTGCCCTGTCAGAAACCCTCGGCATCACCAGCTCATAAACAAACTCAGACTGTTTACTCAGACTGCTTACATACACATAAACAAACCCAGTGAATGGCTCTACTCCAAAGATCTTAAAATATGGCTACTGTCTCAAACTTTTGATTCGGTTTATGAAATGATTAAAATGTGTGTAGATCAGCTTGATATAGTTCAAGGTGAAAGTTTTATACAATTTATCCAGCCACTAAACAATGTCAGAGGTGGGGTTGCTCAGAAACAGCAAAAAGAGACAGGAAAACAACCAAAAAGTCCATGTGCAAAAGTATCCAATGAAGCAGAGATGGAACACACTATAATGTATGTACAATACATTAGAAAACTGAGATGTAAAACATCTAGCAATATAGATATTTTTTTTCAATATCTATAGCTTGACATCATATTTGCTTTCTTTACATATCAGTCATTCCTGAACAATCTTGCATCTATCCCTTTCAGCTGAACCGGTATTGCTGAGAGCATAAAGACAGTGAATTAAATGTCTTTGGGTTGTGATGCACCATGTTTATTTGTGGGCAGGTTACGTGATCATAAATGTTTGCCTCTCAAGTCACTGGAGATACAGACCGGTTCTGAGAGAGATCTGCAGATCCACCAAGCTATGTCTCTCTTGACCAAACAAAAGTTAAAAACCTGAGGCTATATTTCACATAGAGACAATATTCTGAGAGGTGCTGGTCAAATCCACAGCTTCGTTGACATAAAGGCTTGGCCACTGGCTTTAGAATATATTATGTCTTTGTCTACCGTTTCATGTCCAGTGTGTTGCATTTGAAAACAACGTTATTATTGCAGTTATGTTGCATTACTCTCAATATGAATTAGTCTGATTGCCGAGCTCAGTTTGAGCCGTGCATCAATTATGACAGGGGGATTCATTCTGTGTCTGGGGGAGGGGAGAGAAAGCACCATTAGAATCCTATTTTCCATTTGTGTCGTGACATGTTGGTAGGGATGTAACGATTAACCGCGAGCCGGTTGAAAATCGATTTAAATATGTGACGATTCAAATCGGTTGAGATGCTAAACAAATCGCGATTCAGTTAGGGGTCGGAGTTTATATGAATGTATGTCTGAGGGGAACTTACTGTCTTTCGATGGTATTTTTTCTTTTCCTCTTGCCTCTGTATAATGCATAGCAGGGCTTCAGACTCATTCTTCCCACTGGTCGCTCTTTTGCAACTAACTTTCTCAGCTGGTCGCACGAGCACATGATTTGGTCGCAATATATTTATTTATTTATTTATTTTAGTGCGCTACAACATGGGATTATTCAATGCATGCTGATGAACTTTTATCATAGTTTATAGTTATATGGAAACGAAAGTTGTTAACATTCAACCCGTTCTTTATCATCAGTAGTATTATGATTTGAATTTTGTGAATGGGAGTTTCTTTTTTGCTGTGTTAAGCCGCGGGCTTCGGATGCTTTCACTTTCGAACTCGCGATCTTGTTGTCACTGTTTTGCTTACATACATCTACACACCTTGCAACAGAAATTGAAGCGCTTATGAGTTGACCAACGCGGTGGTCGCGCCAGTGCGACCGCACACAAAACTTAGAAAAAATGGTCGCAGTCTGGAGCACTGCATATTAATTAAAGTTCATAAGTGCAGCGCTGCTTTGTTTACAGCGGAAACCAAGAACACGCTTTAAGCGCCACCTGCTGGCAGAGAGTGAATCTGCGTCTCATTCAGCTCGTCTGCTGTTTCTGTTTCATGCAGATATGTTTATGCATAGTTTCACAAAACTGAAGTCAAACCATTTTGTTTTTGCTTCAAATTTAGAAATTATACAATGTAATTTAGATTTAAAAATCCTCATGTTGCATGTATGCAGCATCTTTGTTTGGATCAAGATTAAAATGCAGTGGTTGCCTCTAATTTTAAAAGGAAAGCGCACAAGACAAAGCCTTATTTTGTTTATATGAAGAGATTTATTTTATTTGTGTTACTTATTTATTTGATTTGGGGCTTGTTTTAAATTTTCA